ATAGGTGCAAATATGGATTCATAAGACAAGAGAGCAGAGTAGTAAGGAAAGACCCCTCGCTGTATTGTCAATTTTTATATCCGAATAAATCGAATGTCTAAAAGTCGTGACGTGCAATCAATATTCTACTTGTACTTTTTTTCAGAATGCCGTGTGTACATATAGCAACATTAGCAGCATAATCTAAAAAATATTTTATTAAAAATTACAACTGATCAGTTCTTACAAAAAATTTTGAAAATGAAAAAACCAATTTACGGCTTATAATGTGCTTTTGCATAGAAGTTTTTAAACGTTCATGGTCTTAAATCTTGGACAGTTTTGAATAATTTAACTGATTTCGTAAGTGATGCTATTTTATTACAACTCAATTCATCCGCCCAGAAGAGCTATTTAAGCAGGCCACTGGCCCATGATATTTGAGCACCTGCAGTGTCAGATGCATATCGCATCATTCAAGCATACAAAATCTGTTTCGCATGCCCTGGCATTACCACACTAAAGCACCATGTTATACATATTGTTCGCAATTCATCGACTTGCTAATCATTTCTCATCTGACTGCATCGAATAACAGTATAGCGACTTCTTTGCTCAAAGAAAAATTTACAGTGTTGGTAATGGAATCTGCATTTCTGAGGTTCATAGCCAAACTAAAGCTGGTAAATAAAAGTTCAAACGTCACCATTGCGGTGCTGTTTCTTTTTGTCATGTAAATTTAATACAAAGCTTGGCATTTTCATATAAGAAACTATCTACTACGATGATGAAACGTATCGAAACTCGATACGAAATATTTGCAATCGACAGCTAATCTTTATTCAGTTTCTTCAATTATGCAAATGCTTTCCAGCCGCTTTTTGTCATGTATATCTGCCTATCAAGTTTTGCAGCAGTCGAACAGTAAGTGGCAGAATTTCCGACATTGAATCATGCGAATTTGTGTCTCTGAACACCTCTGATATGTTTGTAACGTTTACTGATCGAGAACGTGGTCATTCTTCATGTAGTCCATTATCTTATCCTCCGTAGGCTCTTAAGCAGCATTTATTCGTGACCATTCATAGAGTGGAGTATCAATATTATCTCTTAATGGCTATTTCCAGTCCGTGTAACAAAACTAGCTTAAATGCTACGAAGCAGTGGATCCACTTGTTAGAGATTGATATTCTTTTCAAGTTCAGAATTTGAACATGCCTCTGAAATGCAGTCGGTACAATGTTTCCTCAGTTAAGATCGCGTTAAAGGAGATATGGAGCTCTTCCTGTGCATCTTAATCGTGCTATCTGTATTTCCCATTCATCTTCGATCGATTAATCTGCCGTTATGCGCACCGCTTCGGTTATCAAGCAAATGACTTGTCACTATAGCTTAAAGATACAGTAAACGGAATAGTAGTCAGTGTGATCTAAAAAGATCTGTAATCTGGAAGTTAAATGCTGATTTTAGCGCTGATACATTGCATGTATTTATAAAACACGTCATTATGTGAAACACGTTTGAAACCGAAACAGCTTAGGCATTTCATCTTCACATACGTTTATCCTAAGCAGCAGAAATACTATGACTTTTTGAATAAGAGTTTTTGAGAAATATCGCCGACATAATCTATAATAACGAAATGACAGTCCAACGCAAGAGCTGCAATTGACTGAAACGCTGCAAGAACTGAAGAGGCACCAACGCAGAACCGACGTAAAATTTTCGACACGACTACGAAGACAAGAAAACTTAAGTCGTTTTTTACTTTGGAAACCGTTCAAAGTTCTGAAAGTAATTCGTAATACCACATGCAATGATTGAAAACTGCTCAGAACGAATGTCAGTCAAATGTAAAACAATCTTACGGGAGAGTATAGAGGCAAAAAGCAAAATTCATTCGATTGATAACAAATGCTAAAAATTAAACATTCGAGCTTTCTAACACAGTTAAAAATAGAATATGACAATGATGTGATGTGCCCGTTCTTCAGCAACTCTTTTGCCATATCTAGAAATCACCACTGCAATGCAAAAGACACGTTATACGGGAGAATCGCTTAACAGACGATCATGGAGAAGCAATACGGCCAGCTGCAAACAGATAAGCAGAAAAAAGTAAATTCTGTACGCATCCTTAGGATGGCAGCCTCACGAGATGTTTCATGGCTGGGCGACATTGGCAACGTCATTCTTTCATAGAATCTATGATGCGGCAACATTCATGTTTCACCTGCCAATACTGCTTTATTGTTATTTATAGTATAATCTACAGGAAGATGGTTACATTCTACGAAAAATGAATGCATTAACCGGAACTAGAACCCACGACTTCGACCTGCAAGTCTGACGTTCTACTAACTGAGCGACCCAAATCTAAGGGCACAAAGACGAGGACTAGATGACTCAGGTATATTGAACTTCGCATTATTGCACATCTGAATTAGCGTACGGCGCTTACCACATTGGTGAACAATCAATACCACTGGAAAAACTTGCCGAATCTACTATAGGTTGTGAAAATGGACTAATAAATAAAAAATAACCGATATTCAAAACAGTATGCCTAAATTTAAATAAAATAAATTTAATTATGGAGAGAGCTTTTGATTCAGAACCTATAATTCATCAAAGAATTATTTTCTTTCTTTCCTGATGCTTGA